TTTACAAAAAAAGACCTGCGATAGATTCCATCAACATCTACACTCACGACTTTTCATACAAAATTTCAAAGAAATTGGAGAAACCATTTGCTATGACATGCGTGTTCAATCAAAAAAGTAAACCTGTACTGAGACGTATCAACTGACTATCACCAAAACGTGAACCAATGAAACAGACCCCATTATCTAAGTAGCACATGCACTCCGCTATACAAGTTTCCCCCAAGCTTTCGACCTGCATAAAATCAATTAAAGACAAAAATAAACACAATTCAAACATTAAACAACGAAACAGTGCACACACCTTTGCTACACGCACTAAATGACTTAACAATTTCTCTTTTAACTGAGATAAATGTCAAAAAAAAAAAAAAAAAAAAAAAAAAAACACGAAAACTTGCAATATTTGACTGGATGTAAATATTAATAATGTCTTACACTAATGAAACCGTCTTTAAATCATAAAAATATATTGACCCTCAGTATGACTAGCTATAAAAATGGAACTATAGTTAAAGGTCTTGCAAGTAAGAAATTCAGAACTTCAGATTTTTTCAGGTCAAGCAGTAATAATTGCACAGGGAAGATACACCACAACAATGATTAGAAAATACGAGAAACAAACTACTTGATATGGAATGCTTCAATTCAAACCTTCATATCTCTCACATACATAGCTGAGTTCTCATCTTGTTCTTGATCTTTCCCCAGCTCTAACAACAACATATACAAATTGCCAGCTAAATCAGCCAATAAATAACGTTGTCCATCACGATCAACTGGGGCATAGCAATTTGGGTGAGTATTGTGAAGTCTTGATCCAGGCACTCCTGCATAACGTAAAGCATCATCACCACCTAAAACAACCAATTTATAGTGCGCTAAGAAGGTTGTTTGTAAAAATCACTACAAATTTTAGAAGCCTAAGCCTCCCGTGATACTGCCGAAGATCTACTGACACATAGATTTAACAAAGAGAAAATAAACAGAAACAAGACTATTAACACCAATTTTTTCTTTTTTTTGTACTTCCAGATCAACATTTCGAATCCTATTGTTTGGCTGAGACAGTATAACTTTTATTATTGCTGTTACACGTATACGAACAGTACTAATCATATCAAATAATTAAGCAGAACTTGAATCGTACAGCCAATCAGAGAAATATGTAACGAACGCTATTAATCTAATGAAGTTGTGAATATAATGGAACGGATAATGGTCTAGATATGAATCACTATATGTAACTATATACAATTTACAGCATAATCACTCCTCATGCCACATATTACCACAGTGTCATGCCGTAAAAGATTTTCCTAGTGGAAACGTGACTGTAATCCAAAACAGATTTGTGAGTTTGAAATTTAGCATGAATGAAAAGCTCACCTTTATGATAGGAAATAGCATCGGGACCTGCAATGAGACATCCACCTACAGGTTCTGGAACACCAATCACTATATTCGCTTCCCCTTCGAGATTATCATGCTTCCAAAGAGGAGAGCTGAGCTCTTTATCATCAATATTAAGAGCAACTACCTTTATATGACGACCATTATCGTCCTGGTATATGTAGGCAAGTGTTGGACGGTCTGAAAGAGATTACCAGCCAAAAGTGTTCAATCGCCAGATTATATCTGTAAAGACTTTTCTGCTATAAAATTACAACCAGCCTCCCTCTCCCTCTCGTCAAAACTTAATAATTCCTGCAGAAAATTAGTGTTTACCAGGATCAGACATAAATGTTATATCAACGATGTACAAATCATCACATCTAACATTGAAACCACGTAGGTCTTTTCCTTCGTTCCACTGTACTACTTTCAGAAGACCATCATATAAACGAAACACCATCAACTACAAGAAATGTGAAGCATAAAGTTGCTGTTATCTCTTATGTGTAAGGAATTTTGTTATGTAAAGCACGTTAGCAACTAAAAAATCCTAAACGCACCATTTTTTTAACAGCCATCTTTTGGTAGCTAAAGACAACTAAAAAATATCTTACTCCTGATGAATGAACAGTCGCTATCATTCCTGTTTCGGATGGTCGTCCAACTCGATCCACAATATGTCCTGAAGCTCGTGTACGCAACTCGCTCGTTGGTGTCCAACGGATTATAGCCAAGTGATACTTGGCTGTCAGGATTAGCAAGCTATCCACATTCTACAATTCACCCAACTTTCTATCAATGTGGAAGCGGATCTGTTATAGTACCGGCTTGTAACACCAGTAAGACCATCACAGACCAAGACCATACAAAGATTTAAAAAGTAAGAATGCATACCTCACCCGGTGCTCTGAACAATTTTATTGTTGCGATGCGTCCAAACACTGAACATTCTCTGTGAGGCTTCAGTCCTTCCGGTGTGACCAAAAACAGCTCCACGCGATTGGTTTTCGCTAGCACTAAATTTAGTTCCGTAGGAACAATGAAACTACCAACCAAGGCATGGGTCACAACTGTTGGCTTGTAGGCTGTCACAATGTAGCTGAGGGCCATTTCGGAACTCCCTAAAATTTCAATAAATTTTTTTTTTCAACTTCAACTGCCGATTAAGCAATAGTCAACGAAATCTGTACATAAATGTAAGCATAGCAAAAAAGTGCACAGATGAAAACAACTTAATAAATAAGTCCAAACACCAACAAGTACTCACTCTACAGCAAATCGTTAGAAACCATCAGTAAAAAACTTCACTTAACCCAATAGGTGAGTTAACGCAGCCCATTCTTGAAAATTTTTTGTCTCATGGAAAATAGGATCATCCGTTGTGTAATTCCACTCCAATTTCAGAGCGAATATTCAAACACATTTATTTGACACTATTATAAGAATCCAAGTATCTTGTTGGTTAATGGATGCGAGGAACTTAAATCATGGCAAAAAAAGTGGAACAGAATAATCCCAGGAATGGTTCTAAGTGTTCTGTAACAGCCTCCATAAGATCTGACCCATGTTCCCATAATTGACCAGCTCTAGAGCATTCTATGGGGCGCAATACAATTGAATGCATACTTGACAAAACTTTGGGATTTCCAACTGTTGGTTTCAGGGTTGCATATAGTTTGCTCGTCTCTCTTTCTCTTACATTAGCCGCTTCTTTTTTTGCTATAGATCAACAGGTCAAAGAGGAGATTTAATTGCCTTGTCAATGAGCTTTTCCTGCTGACGTTCGGAGGGAAATTAATTGCAACTATGTGATATCTCGGTATAACATTCCATATAGTAATGCAAATTTCTGATTTAGATTGTTTTTTAGTAAACATTTATGTGGAATCGTTTCCATCTATTCTCCGTATCTAATTTGAATGTGCACTATTTGTACACGTCAATTATTCGAAATGATTAGACATACGGAGATAAATGTATCATCAGAATCAAATCATAGTTGTCTTGATAATTAGCATTATTATGTATTTTATCTTAGCGCATTTATTTCAAGATTAATTCTTTCTGACCCTATCACTACTTCAATCAAGAAAATGTGTATTTCCATAAAATCACGTGAAATCGAAGAAATAAGCTGAGAGAAAATGAAGCAATACTAATCGAAAATATATTTGTGCCATCAAAATTTTAGGAATATGCAGCATTCAGAACAGATCAATCTCGTTCCTTTTAATAGAAGTGAGACCAAATGTATCATAACTATAAAAGAAACAATTATCATAAAAAGCCAGCTGCGTGATTCAATGCATTTTTGCTTTTGTAACAAAATGAGCAAATAAATACCTGCAAGTAAAAGTGATAACGGATTAGGTCATGAATTGGTTCACATCGGGTGGGTGACAGCATAGAATCAGACTATGTATGCTATCACATAGCTAGTTGTTTGTGGGCTAAAAGAATGAGTATATTGCGGTGCTATTACAAACATTTAGCAGAAATCGATTCGAAGAAAGCACCTCATTTTAAAGCTGAAAATGAAAGCAGCTATTGCTTCTACGATAAGCTTTTCTACTTCGCGAAATTTAGCTAGTAGATGAGTCACTGTTAAATTTTGAATGCTGAGGCATTCGTTTATTCATCCTCACATGCCTACAATTTCCTCATAATGGATAGCATATCCAAGTGGTTTAATGATGACCGTGGTCATGGTAATCGTCTGCCAACGATCAGTAATAAAATATTTAGTCAAGATTATGTTGCATAACTCAGTGAACTTAAATTTAAGAAAAACAAAACTTTGAATAAGAATTAGAGCGGTAGTACTATGTCAATTAGATAAGGCAAACAAAAATGAAAGACAGTGGAACCATTCAAGAGAAATGATGACAATTAGAAAAATTAAGTGGAAATTGCTCAAGTTCTAAGTTTGCTTTTTTCGATTAAATAATATTAGAAGTATGTTGCTAAATAAATGATGCTGAAAATCTCATATTTCTCATTATGCTTTTCAAATTTTTTTGTGCTTCATTTTATTTGCTTCTTTTTCTTACAGGCCTTATATGCCATATACTTCTTAATTCCATGTAATTCAAATTTCAATCATTTTCAATTCGTATTTCATAAATGTCAGCTATTACAATACTATATTTTGTACTTTTGCTAATTCGATCTCCAAGCGTATCAAAAACAATTTTTCTTCAAATGTAGTATTCGCACTGGTTAATCTCTTATGTTTTTTTTTTTTCCGAAGCTTTTTGCTAAACATTTCGAAAAGTATCTTTGAAATTCTCCAAAGGATCAAACATATTTATTATTTCTGAAACTTGATAGAAACGATTTCTGATTATCATCATCTTCATAAGATGTCTTAAATTAACCCATTCCTACGAGAACAGAATCATTTAGTAGCTGGACTGTTTCATATGACCATCACATATCCAACCAAATAGATTTCTTTTTTCCAAAAATTGAAGCTATCATTTTTATCATTGAGATTACTAGCCTCTTTCCTCTTTTGACGAGCACAACTGCGGATGAAATGATATTCAAACAACTCGATTGTAAATCAAAAATAGATAAGTTACTAGATTCTGGAAAAAACCGAAATGTTTTCGCAATTAGCAGTTAATTGGTTACGAATACCGTTGCTACTGCTCCTGTTACAACAACCACACTGCTGTTCATCAACTGAACAACTAACACTCGAGTAAATTTTTAGTTTTCTTATCATAATTTTGTTCCATATTGTTATCCTAAAATCTAACTCTAAATTTCATGTTTGATGATTTCGTCCTTAAATTTACCAGTCAAAGCTGAACTTTTAAAGTTAATTGAATTTTAAAATTGTACAGTATGCAAAAATGGGCTGGTCTTTTGAGCGAGCATCTGCAGGAAATGTTTAGTGGTGCTACAAGGGAAAATGATATCATTGCGGTATGCTTTCCATCTTCTCTTTTAACTTTTGCATTTTCGTGTTGTTATACCGCTATTTTATACAGAATTGATTTTCTCATAACAGGACCATTACAGATGTATAAAAATTACGGCGAAGTTGAAATATTCGATCCTCAAAAAGAGCTTAAAAGGGCAAAAAATGCAGTCGAGGCATATTTGAAGCGACGTGCTAAAGTTGCATGGGTAAATTTATTTTCAAATTAGGAAAATGTGCAGATGAAATCAGCAGTGAAGGTTGACCGAAAATTATTATCGAAAATTCAAATTGTTTAAAACGAAAGGACCAAATTAATGTAGCAATGCAGGTAACCGTATTGAATGTTAAATTTAATTTAAATTGGAAGTGAAATTCAGGAAGCGAAAGTATCCTTGGAATCACGCAATCTCGCTAATCTCACTGAGCACGATGTAAATGATCCGACAAGCACGCATTTCATACGCTTCATGGCTGCCAAGCAAGAAACTGATGCTGCCCGAGTGTATGTGCACGATCATACCGCTAGTGTTATCGAGGTAGCTTTCCGGAATTTGTATCCCTGAACTTATGTAAAACATAAATGGAAATTTGAAGATATGAAATCAGAATAATCCAGAAATCAAATAAAGGGTCTTTCACTCTTTCCATTGTTCATTCATTGCAAATTCACATCAGTATATTTCTTGAAGACTGCATGTCTCATTTAATTCTCTCTTATTAGTCTTCTTTCCTCAGTGTTTTTTTGCAGGTAAACAGCACACGACGGTTTAATTTAACACCGAATGCTAATTTTTATGGAATTTCAACTAGTTTACTATCTTCTGCTGTTCATGTTCCAACACCAGTTTATGACCGAAGTAAGAAAGTAGCTTAGCTAAATATTTGAGAATTAGAAATGCTTATTGTGTGAGCAGAATTCTTCCATATTCTGATGTATTTTGAAGAAATCAATACGTGTTGCAATAAATCTCCTCATATAATCGTTTATGATATATGCTTCACCCAACTTTTTGACCCTTCTTGCTGATGAACTTAATCTTTTCACATTTTCCCTTCTTGATGTGATACTTATTTTTTTTTTTATTTAAAATTTATACAGAACCAAACAAACTACGGTTGAAAAAATCTGCAGATCCGGAAGTGTTGTTGAAGATAGACTGGTCTAATATCGATCATTTATACCGAACAAATCAGGAAGAGACGCATGACCTCGCTTTTCAGATGTTTTGTTCGGAGTCTGGGTTTATGCGTTACTATCCAGGTAGATTACATATTTATTTGGTGTAACTTATCGGCAAATTATTATTATCATTTTTTTTTTTGGGATCATATCGTCACTTTTGGCATATTTTGAGCTGTTATGGAGATTGTGTTCATCCTAAGTCAAATTTCATCTTCATAAATAATCATTTAATTTTACAGCAGTATCGTGGGTATGGGACAATCGTGCAGAAAAACTTGATTTATTTGACTGCAGAAGTACGAAATGGTAAATATGAAAATTTGTAAAAATCATCGTTTTCCACGTTATAATATGATTGTTTTTATTTGCATTTGCACAGTATTTATATTGTATTTCTCTCTTAATTTTTATTTGAATAGAAATAATTTCAACTTTTACATCGATATCTTTATTCATTCTATAATTTGAAAACTTCTGTGATTTTCACAACAGTTATTTTTGGTTCTGTGTTATTTTCTGGTGGAGCGTAAATTTCTGCTGTGTTTCTAGGTACATAAATGCTGCAACGTTGTCGAAAAATGTAATTATAATGTTAGATATGTCTGGCTCAATGCTTGGCCAGAGATTCGAAATAGCCAAACAAACTGTGGAAGCAATATTGGAAACACTCTCCGACAATGATTTCTTCAACATATTACTTGTCAGTACTTTTTCACACATTTACTTCAGGGATTAGAATTTATATGGGTAATTTTTTTTCCACGCTTTTCTTTTTGGTAATAAAATTATTCTGCAGTTCTCAAAAACAGTTGGTTTTTTGGATGAATGTAGTGAAAAGGCTGGGTTATTGCAAGCGACAGTTCGTAACAAGAAGGTATTTTTCTCATACATTTTCATTTTTCCTTTTCCGTTTTATCAGTCCCTTTTAGCAACATTTCATCTTTAGTTAAATTTAGCGGTACAGTCGACGAATTATTTTTATGTTTGATTAAATGTTTAAAAATTTCATTCCAATATTGTATTTGAGTCTAAGAAGATATGTTTGTCATAACTGAATGTTTCAGATGTTACGAGCTCGACTGAATAGTATATCGTCGGAGGGTAAGGCAGAGTATGAGAAAGGCTTGATTAAAGCCTTCGAAACATTGATGAAAGTAAGTTTTCCTTTCATGGAAAATTTTTTTGTTAATTTGCAAACAAGTTGATTTCGCTGCCCAGTTTCTTTTTTTTTTTTTTTTTTTGTTGCTTTCGCTTTATGTTTTATGCGCTTTTCATGAAACCGCTTGAAGCTACAAGAACAAAGCTTACGTCTTACGCTTTTATAAATAGTTTATATGTTTGTCACTTTCAAACTATCTTGCTAACCTTAAATTATTAACTAATGTTACGTATTAAATTATGCTTGTGTAGTGTACTGAAGATAATCTTGAAGATGAGTGAACACAAACTTTTTGGATACAAGTAGATTCCATATAATTTGTCAAAATGCTCTTATTAAGTTAACCTAAAAGGGATATTACATTGTTCGTTTCTGTTTTTTGTCAATTTATTGTTGTTTGCGCTTCATCCACATATAGCTTCCTGGATCAGTCAATTTCACGACGCCTGAAGAATTGGCAGTGCGTCGAGAGCTAGCTGGTGGTGTACTACCTGCTGATGTTCATTACATCGCTGTTCAAGATCATATCCTTGTGATCCCGAATCATCTTTATCAGGCAGTAAGTGCAAACTATCACTAGCTGTGTTTGGTACTAAAAGTGGCATAATATTTGTACAAGTTTATTCCTGAAAGGTAAAAGTAAGCCGCTGACTACTGATTTTTCGCATGTACTGCTTTCCTTGATGTTTGTTCGTATTACTTGCGAACGCATAGGCGCTTCGTAGAAGCACTTTAGCTTTAGATTACAAACTGCATTATCGTACTTAAGAATGTATGAAACTTAAATTTTAGCTGAATATCAAGTTGGATAATGCATTGAGTTTAAAATAATTGGGAATTTTACTTCCTTTTGGAATTTAAAATCTAGATGAAGCAATAAAGTTGCGTATTTTTGCATGATCTAAAAGAGCAGAAATGACTTTCAAATTTCTCAGATTCATAGATGCTGCTATTCCATAGTGAAGAAATGGACGGAAAACAAAAACGAAAAAATTGGAAATTTTTTGTGGAATTCTAAACACTTAGCAATACCTCACGAAATATCGGTTTTGTATAGATAATATAAAATTATGGTTCTATTACAGATGCATAATTATACGGGAAAAAAGGCGCAGTTTGGTTGCAACGACATCATTATGTTAATTACTGATGGAGCACCCAGTTACTTCAAACAGATCTTTCAGCTATACAATAAAAATAAATCGGTGAATGGCTTAATCATTTCAGTATTATCTATGCGATATTACAGTAACCTTGTAGAGTTTCCAGTTGGTTATCTCATATCTTGGATTGAGGTGCCAGCTGTGAATTCCTCCATACATGAATGATGATTTTAGGTTCGTTTCTTTTCATTTCTAATAGGGGAAGAAGCAACAGATGTGGCACAGGTAAAATGGATGGCTTGTGAAAACAAAGGTTTCATGGTGCATATAAGTAATTTGGCTGATGTACAAGAAAAAGTTCAGGTATCTAAAGTTACTTAAACTCTACGCTATTTTTATCCAATTGCAGCTGCGATATTTGCAGCCAATATTAAATTGATTAGGGACTTAGATTTGTTTTTAAACAAAAGATCCCCTCAATTCATAGCTTTTTATTATCTACTTGTTTATTAGTTTTCGTCAGAACCGAATTATCCGTTATTTACTTGATGACTTGGCTAGTATTATTTCCATCAACCAATACACTAGGGAAGTTTAAATATTTGGAAGATTTACCTGATTTTTAGCATTACATTAAAGTAATGAGTCGGACAGTCGGTAAGCATGGTACAAGTTTTGGTGAAAGAGATGCCATCTGGAGTGGTATATATAAGGAGCGATTGGTAAACTTGATCTTGTTTAACTTTTTATAGATATGTTTTATGACAAATATTCATGTTGTTCACTTACTTAAATTTTTTGAAATATTGACGTACCCTCAACTTTATATTGAAACATATATATTAATAGGAATATCTGAAAAACCATAGTTTTTGGCGAAAATGTAGGAAATTTACAAAGAAATAGATTTTTGAAATCCTTGTGGATAAATAGGTTTTATTTTTTCCAGCTAACAATCAGTCAAAGTTCAGTGAAGAAAGTAAGTTTTAATTTTTATTATTTCTAAATCTTGCATTGCAACTTCTCTTTCAGTTACTTTCATTTCTCATGAACTGATTAAGCTATGTTTCATTCATTTTAATAGCTGTATTTTCTAGAAATCCCGAATCAAACGTGTGGATCCAAGGGTTAGTTATTTGTCATATTTCAAAATTTTATTTTGATGATATATATCACAGCACGATTTGCATCAGTTTGATTTTTCTTGCCCGTGTTGATTAATTAGATCCTGAAGACTTTAAAGCTTATTGACTCCAAGTATATGCGAGAAAGTATGTTCATAATTTATGATGATAATTAAACTATTTTTTTTTTATTTTATCTAACACTTATCTTTGCTACTGTTAATTTTCTCAACTTATTAATCTTAAGAGGTTACCGTCGTGTTTCTACTTATTTTTAGACAGAAATGTTGGTTACAACAGTGAGTTATCCTGTGATCCAAGGTGAAAAGTTGATGGGAGTTGCCGCCGTTAGTGTACCAGTCACTGAGTTAGCACAACTGGTTCATATCATAAATGTATGTTCCATTCTTGAAAAATAATTTTAACTTACATATGGCATATACCTATCTTCTCGATATGCGGTGTAACGTAAAAGAAGTGGTTTCTTGTCTTTTTCATGAAGTCCATGAAAAATAATATCGACCGGAGTAGTGATATTGGTAAGTTCAAACCTTCTTTCTGTTTAGAAAAAGCGTTAATTTACAGTTTGGAAGTCAAAGCTATGGATTTATGCTGGATAATAATGGTTATGTGATGTTCCATCCACAAATGCGCCCTCTAGTAAGTGTAAACTACTGCAAGCGGAATGACTGGAGGAACACCGTCCTCATTAGTTTGATATGGTTTTTATTGCATCTTTTATAAGTGTGTTTTTCAGGTAATCATGATAAAAAGAAGAAATCCTATTTATATTCGATTAATTTTTATTCCAGTGTAGATCAGGTTTTATAGGATCCGGAAACAAAGCAAATGAAATTGAATTATAACAATATCGATATTTTGGAACTTGAAGTACCTCAAAATCAACAAATAGTTAGTTTTTCATCTACAGGTTTATTGGCAAAATTTGTATCCTTAATACAATAGGCTTGTTCTGGATATCTTCCGCTCTTCTTACTACTCTTTTTTAAATTTAATTTACATATCTATTGGCAGTTTTTTAGTTAAACGATCATTTATCAGTGAAGAATCGTTTACAGTACGATACTAGTGAGGTAAAATTCAACGCCATTGATGGTTTCTGTCTGTACAATTAGTTGCATGCCATATTTTTCCTGTTTGTAGTTTTTTTTTTTTTTTTTTTTTTCTTTTGAATATTATGAGTCTATCTAACTGATTTCATGAGAGCTATTTTGAAAAATTTCCAAGATAATTTTCAGTCAAATGTAAATTCAGTATTTTGTATTTCTTTTTCTTTTGAATTTTTCCTGCAATCCTTGCACTCTGTACTTGTGCTTTTGCTTGTTTTTGTTTTTGAGCGAGGAATATATTGTCCGTTTGGCTGTTTTTTTTTTTTTTTTTTTTTTTCGGAATTGCTTATTCTTGAAGAAACAAATTTTCATGATGACATAAAGTAAAAATTTTGAAAAAAATAAGTTATTAAAATCATGAAATTGTTTTGGACTTATTTGACATTTTTCTTTACATTTTATGCTACACACTCCATTGGTTAAATTAATTGCTTATTTTGAAAACAAAAAGTTTTCATTTGACATTTCAGATGCGTAGTTCAATGATTAATTGTGATAATGGCAATGCGTATACTTTGGATATATTATATGCAACGACCAACTTGGTAAGCCTATTCATTTTTTACTAATTAATTGTCTAATAATTCGTAACACTGGCTGCAGGAACGTGTGTACCGTCAATCGAACAAATATTATTCTCAGTGCCTGAAACAATCGCTTTTCACGTATGTCTTTTTTGCTGAGCTTAGGAATGGTAATAGTTTTGAAGAGCGTCTAGATCTGGATAATCAGAGATGGTTCTTTGATTATAAAAACGTAATTTTTCTTCTGTCAAGACTCGAAAGATAAATGTGCTTGTGTGACAGCGGTCAGTGTCATCCTTTTTCTTCTATCTTTAAACTAGATATAGAGTTAAATGGTTCAAGCAGCATATCGCCTCATCAGACTGATTGCAGTATTGGATTAGCAGTAGCGAAGGGTGACGAGAAACGAATAAAACCAAAAAAAGAAATAAACTATGGTGATGTGAAATTATTATGGTATGATATGCCAAACTGGTTGATGCATCCCACCTGGTCTGATTTCTTTTTTTTTTTTTTGGTTTCTGCCAATTATTTCACGTTATTACTGAAAGTTTACTTACTAAAATGCAACCGTACAAGCTGTTCGATATTATTTATATTCATCTGTTGTTGAGCAACATTTCATTCTTTAGGCGTTATTGTTTACTGAACAATCGCGACACGCATTTAACTCCCGAGGCTGCCTTCCGTGAGTATGTCCGAAAAATGCGTATAGATGGGCGTCTGCCCAAACATTGTGAATGTCGAAAGCCTCTCATTGACCGTTTTCTGTTTGATATGAAGGTAACAAATGGTTTGACAAATTTATGGGATATCAACTGGAAAGACAATAAAAAGTAAATATAAAGATCCTTCGCAATTTCCACGTTTATAGCCCATCATTGTTTGAATATTCTTTAGCTAGTAATTTATATCAGTCTTCTTACTTACTTAAAATTATCATTTAAAGCTTTTATTATAGAAAACAAATTCATCTTGTTTGGTTTGCTACCGCTTCGGGTATGATAAAATATTGGGATGAATTACCAGATGGATTAACAAATGTTAATCCTCATTTGCCACTTATGATGACATCAGAAACCGCATCAGTACAGAAGTCAGCAACAGTTACTATGGGTGCTCAAGCAATGCCGAGGCAGCAAATGTTTCTTTAAAACAGTATTCTAGGCTATTTTAGTTGGCGTTTCATAAAAAATGTTGCAAATTAGTTATAGCTCATAGAAGCTGCAGAGTTGAGGCGAGTATGACATTAAAAAAGACATTCTCTATAAATAAATCTATAAGTAAAATAAAAATAATTGTTGAGAAATCAGTAAATTGAATATATGAAATGATTAGTTTTTTATTCAAGTTGATGCTCTGTATATGTTCAGCTAAAATTTTTGAACTTAAATCATTCCTCTTTCCAGGAGCTATCAGCACTTTATTAAAGACTTAAATCGTCGTTCCAGTGAAGATCAGTACTTTCAACGCAGCGTTCGTATGCCGGGGCGTTTGGTTGTTGATGTAAATAAAGAAAGTATGTATCACCAAACTTTGTTAGCAGTAAAAAATGTTTCCGGATCAGACCATCTATTAAAAGCATTATTTAGCCTATCTTTGGTATCAAAAGGAGACGCAATCAGCATACGGTCATCCAGAAAATGTTTCGCTTCTTCTAACAGTCACTAAAGCACTTGATATTGATGGTGCATTACTTGGTGTAGTGGGATTGGAACTGACGTTAGACTGTATGGCAAAAATAATGAAGAAATTTGGTTGTGGGCCACAGGTGAACGAATCGTGCTTTACTTTAATTTAGATTTTTTCATTTCAAAGTAGGATTTACAAATTCCTAGAACAAATTTCAGTTTGTGGAAATTTCTCGAAAATTACAGTCTTTGGAATGATATTTTATTGAAGGATGAGCGCCGATGGTGTTTTCTATTGGATGAGCATGCATACATTGTTTATAGTAGTTTAAATACTTCTATAAGTAGCACTGGTGGATTTTCTGGAGGTGAAGCAGGAGTCCCGAAGAATTTCGATTTGTTAGGACGCTGGTTTGGATCGGTGAATCGAATTACAGAACGGACAATGACGCTACTGCTGAGAAATAACTATTACACTGAGTATGCTCAAAAAATGTCGATAAATGTTTATAGTATTCGATATTTCTAAGGTTTCGTATCACTGAGAGGAATATTTCAGCTGAGTTTCTACCTAAAATTGTTTGGCTAGATTAGATTAAATTAAAATTGAATTATCTAAAAGACAACTGAATTTTTTTTTTTTACAGAACAACTTATGTTGATTATCAAGCAATCTGTAAACAGAATGAAATGGTTATGTATACTGCTGGTGCTGCTTTTAGAGTAAGATGTAATATGTTAACTATCCAATTTATGATTATGTAATGTATGCATGATTTTAAAAACTCAAAATTGAGATGTATCTTCCAACGTATCTGAGAAGCAAAGCAAGGACTATATATATATATATTTCAGGTCAATGCAATATTTGGGTCGTTGTTGCAGATTTGGAATCGACTGTTGGCATTATTGCAGAATTTTGCTATTGTTCAAATATTCACATCATTAATACATCCTTACGTTGATGGTTTGATTTAAACATTTAAGTTTAGATGTAATTTCTATTACCAGACCATTGACCCATAACTTTATATTAAACTTCGACAAACTCACTGTGTATTGTTATTTAGCCGTAGCCTTCCTTTAAAATTGCATCTTATTATTTTAAGACTTCAAAAATATACAGATATATGAGTGAGTGGGATTAGTATGAAATCTAACCAAGAAAAACATTTTAAAAAATGCACCACATCCTTCAGCGTACACTGCAACGTTTACTGGTGATACCGACACATTTTCATGTGATAAAGCAACGAAGTACTATTTGGCAAATTGGGGCATAGAAAATTGGTCAGGTAATGGGTCGAGATGGGAGATGCCTAAATCGTCAGCACTAATTGCTGATAATTTAGCCGAGCGCCCGTGCAAGCATAATCCTGCTAAATGTGCTGTGTAAGTTAAAAGGCTGAATGTTCTTTGTTTGGTGTGATTTTTTTATGGAAACAATTTATAATAATGAGCTAAAAAATCCTTTGCTTCAGAAAAATGTATGCTCATTGGGTACCAAATACCAATTTGCTGTTAGTTATTATTGTGCAGAGCAATCCGGTATCGAGTTCCTCTGTTTGCTATGATGAAACGCGGTGTCCTCTTTCAATACCACCAGAATTTATCACTACATTCAAGCAGGTTAACATTCTTTCTTTTATACTTAATGATTCGAGTTCTAAGACCAAAGAATAAAGATTAATGGTTAGAAAAATAATCTAAACATTTCAAGAAATTTTTTAAAAAACTTTTAGTGAAAGTGATTTTCACTTACATTCGTTGGAAAAATAGTAATTTAATTATCGGTGCAAAAAAAATACAGTGCTAAAAATTAGATTGCACATTAACCAATTAAGATTTAGCACTTAATTATTTGCAGGTGGATAACGCTTCAGATAAACAGCGAGTAATCTCAAACATAAACGTTGTGGATTCATTTTCCGAAGATATTAGCGATAGGAGATGTCGACATGTCCATGCAAAGCAACGTAAATCGCCATCGAAATGTGTACATTCTAATGAGGTAAAGCTCACTAATTTAAGAAATAATCTATAACTTGAAATTGTTGAACTGCACCATCAACTTTTAGAAAAAGTAATTTATTTCTCCAAACTGGACTTTTCTTTTCAGTTTTTATTTACTTTTTTTTATTTTCAATTTTAGGAAATGCAACTACTTTCTGCTAAGTTTTTGCTAATATGTCATGGTTTCATTCTACTTAAGAATAGCTTTTAAGAATTTTTATCTTTCTGGTGATCAAATACATAGTTGCTTTTTTTTTACAGGATGAATCGCAATATCCATGTTCACAAACGGCATCTCGTTTGGTGTCGTTTGATACGGGAATTCCTTTACTGGTTGCTATCATTTGTAGACTAGCATATTCATATTATGATTTGTCAGATTATTAGAAAATTTGATGACGAATATTTCCATCGACGGTATTTATTGCCCGATGGGAAATGATGTCTTGTAATGAGGCTCATTTCATCAGTTTTCCTGTATTTTCAGCGACGGGTATGATGTTTAGCAGGATAGTCTCTAATAAAATGGAACCTATAAAAGTCAAGTTGCTAAAGCTGTTGTTGTTAAACATTATTATGACTATTATTATTTGTAAGGTGGAAAAATCCTGACGAACACTGAGGTGGTTAGGTTCTACGAGAAGTATAAAAACCATTCCACTTTTTGTTACTAGTTGTCATCTGAAAATGTATTAGCAATGCTGAGAAAGCATTTGAAAGAATGACGTATTCATTGTTACTAGTGAAATATTCTAGGAATTTTGCCACAGGAAAATAAGATAACTATTTCCTTTTTTTACATATATCTGGAATCATTTTCGAATTGCTAGGATAAAGGTTACCAAATATTACTTTTTTTATCCTGGTTCCGACTTTACTGAAAGCATAAAATGTAATCTTCGCTGAAGTTTTGTAAACTGAAACGACAACTTTCATGACTGAGGTCCAGATTTCTATTTTTCAACTGAATTTCCTAAGTAGACTATAATAAATTTGCAACTTTTACCGCACCACATGTACTTTTTGAATTGTTTAATATGTTTCATATAATGATGATACTAAACAGTTCTAAGCTCAATTGTTAAATATGATTCGAATACGCGTTTAATACATTGATTACATACTTTACAATTACCAATATCGGTTTTCACTTTAACTTCAAGTTCTTTTTTTTTTGCTAGCAAGACAAAAATTAAAACGATAGAGCTCTTTAGTCCCGCTCAACTATACATAAGAAAACTATACATGGGAAGACAGTGATATCCTGTTTCTATGAAAAGTCAGAAGATTGTTTGGATTGAAATTAAAGCTGAGCCTGACGCCGATATTTGGGTTAGTTATTGGCCTTCTGTCAATTTAGCAATTTTGCATATCACTGAGGACAGCAAAGTAATATTCTATTGATAATTACTCTTTCAATGAGTGGTGGAAGAGGAATTGGTCGACTATTGCTCGGTGAAGTATTGCTCCATTTCCTCTTTATCCGTTTAATTGTATTGGCAGAGTGAGCAGCCTGAAAGAGTAATAGTAATGAGGGATTACTGGAGAGTAAGTTGGCAATTCAGCATATAACTCGATCAGTTACGGATGAAAAAAGGCTGCTGTTTCTGAATCCTCCATTCAGTTGAAAATCTAAGAAAGCTTCCAATAACAACCAATTTCAATTCATATCCATCCATTTCTTTAAGCCTCTCTTTTCCTTACCCCTTGATCCACACTCTTTCCCAGCTTCCTTGGCTTTTTCGCTATCGCTCCCTTATCTTACCCATCCACCCATCATTCGTTGTCCTAAAATTACCAACAACTTAGTTTATTCTTGAACCAACGATAACATTTCGTCTTTTATCATTGATCCAGTGATAATCATCTCTTTTTTCCTTCCCCCGCTATTCTTCCTCTGAGTGTTTATAATAATATTACAAGGTTGTCATCAGTTTTATGTGCACGATGCAAATCGATTAAAACTGGAAAGTATTTCAGAATTGTTGCAGTTTTCTTTTCAATATTGTCTTTAAAGAGCGCTATAGTTAATTATTTTGAAAATGAGAATGATTAACTTTTCATTGTTCACATTTCATTAAAATTGAAATTTATTATATTTAGTTCTATTACATATCTGCCATGTGATCTGGTGCTGCACACAAACACGGATAGGATAGAATGGAAAAGCAAGAGAATGAAGAGTTGTAGCAATATCGCTTCTGAATCATTTACTCCATCACAATCTGCCAGGTCGACATTAACCAGATGACATTGAAATTCGCAGTCTTCATTTCTCTTTTTCGTGAGAATGTGAGGTCATCAGAAAAAGTGATTAGTAAAGCATTCTTGCTTGTTTTTCATTATCTGCTGGCAATCACTTTTAACGTCTCTTGTGTTTGTTCTAAATGGTGATTGTAACATCTTTCTGTGAGACTCCTTCAATCAATCTAATCCAGTTGATCAAGAAAATTCTTAAAAGATCAAGCTTTTTGAAATGTTGCACTTAACAAGAAATCAACCGAAAAGTTCATTTTCCTGTCTACTTTGAAATTAAGTCTGTGGACAACTTGAAATAGTAGGCTGAAAACTTTAAATCTACCTAAACTTCAAAAGCAGTAAATATGATTTGGGCATTAGTTATAATTTGTTCCAGTTTTTTTTTTTTTTTTTTTTTCAGGAAAAGCTAAAAGCTATTCAATGAAAATGTAATTTTAGCTTCGGCGTACGTTACAATCATTTTTTGAATGGAAATGAACCATTCCTTTCTTTCTGCTTAAGACGTTATTTCATATGTAATAGTGAAACAAAAGGATTATTAAGCAATTTTGAAAAGTTAGAATAAATTTATTGTTCTTAAATATGCATTCTTCTAACTTTGAGATCACTTGACCAAAAACATAAGTTAGAAAGAAGAATAACTCTGCAAGTATTTCTCAATTCTTTCGTAATGTCGAATGTACTATAAATATAAACAATAAGGGGAGAAGGAAAGAGACGCATAAAGACTAAAGTCGTAACACAGGAAAGGACGAGTTACAGCAGACCCATGCTTAGAATAAATGAAATGTGAGGTGGACAAAGTCTGGTAACAGAGTTGTGCTGTTGGACATATCTTGTCGTTCTCGAATATTGGATATATCTCATTTCTCGAAATTTAGTGAAGCGAACAATGCACAGACAAAGCAAATGAAAAACTGAATGGCTTCCATCTATTTTGTTGTTCTTAAATATCTATTCTTCCAACTTTGAGATTACTTGACCTTATCTTCCAAAGATATAACATATCGTAATGAAGATAGAAAATACATATTGCCAATAGGACAAGCTCGGAAACATATTGCTATAGGACAAGATGTTATCCAAATATCAAGGATCAGAAAGAGTTGAATGCGTGAACTAAGCATTCTTAAATGTGGATCTTATTTCCTTTATATACCACATCAAAACAACTGAGTTTTCTGGATGACTTGAATATACTACAAATAATTTTACAAGAATTACAAGTACATATAACCACCTGGAAGTACTGTGGATTTCAGTTAACTACAACCTCGGAAATATATTACCACAGGTCGAAAACATTGACAGGAGAGTAAAATATATATATATATATATATATATATATATATATTCGGTTATTCTAATTTAACTTATTAATTTTTTCAAAGATCTCGAAAATTATCATGACAGGCTTCAAACTAATGCAGTGAATTAAGAATTATTTAGATTAGTACCATAACAGTTCTTGCTTAATTGTTCATGAGTAAAGCAAACAGATAAAGGAGTAAATGTTGTAAATGTCGCAAGTAAATTTCATTAGTATTTATGCCGTGAGAAGGCGGTATCTCAAAAAGGCTGTAATTCCACAGCGAAAAACGTTAGAACCATCATAAGAGTATGAGAGAATATAAATACTTTTATGGTCCTTTAGGTATCCCATTATTGCGCAGAGAATCTGGATTTATCTCTTCTCTTCCCATACTTCTATCCCTTTTCATTAAACCTATGCTTTGCTAGCTTCCAAGCTGATATATTGGTTATCAGTTATTCCTATCTATGTACATTTTTGTTTCCACCTGCTGGAGGAGAAATATGTTTCAGTGTCAACCACTAATTCACTTCCTTCACATTCGGTTATCTGTGAAATGAATCAACTTTTTAAATGGACTTACAGTTTCAGTAAAGCAGATTTTTTTCCCCATAAAGCAATTTAGGAATTTTAGATACTCTTAATTTTGACAATTATATCTTGAAGCGCTACTCATACTGTAAAAATTGCTATAAATTTATAGCAAAGTTTTAGAAACAAAACTTGGAAGTTTTTATCGTTTTTTTGGCGTTTTTTCAATAGCTAATTAAACATCGAAATTTTAAGATATCTTTAGGGATTGGTTTGGTGGTGAGTAGGCCTTGTTACTGCTTTGCTCTCGAGTATGTGCTACTATCACTACTGGCAAAAACATAGTGAAGCAGATGTTTTCTAGAAAAGTTGATTATTGCTGTCTGTGATGCTCCTCTGTTTGTGTGCTTTGGTACATTCACAGCTGATACAGTTAGCGCGTATGTTACATTTCAATTTTATCAATTCCGTTTTTATTTTATTTGAAATAATTGTCAAATAGGTCGATAGAAAATGTTGCAACGTAGTTACGTACTTTTCCTGATCTTGTATCTGATGTAATTCAATCGGGAAGAAAATAATTGAAATTAACTGCGGGTCACCACATAAAGAGAGGGACTTCAGCATTTCAATCATTAATTAATTTTAAGGACAGAGAAACTGAGACTACATGCTATACCTATTTCTATTGAGTTTCTGTTCTGAAAGACATTTCTATTAAAACATTATTTCAGCTTTGTTTTAACTGTAATGTATCAACGCCTAATCAATTTAATATAACCATCTTGCTGAATTTATGAAGAGTTAAGGAACATTGGTCAGATATCGAGCATAGAATTTCTAATGTAATTTCAAAAATAATGAAAGAAATTGCTTACAGATGTATCGAGAATCCAATCACTATCATCATGTTGAATTGTAGATGTAGTTCATATTTATTGATTTAGAATGAGATAAGGTTTGCTCTTAGGAAGAAGAGCTATCTGTTTTTACTGTAACATAGTTCATTTTTTTTTTTTTTTCGAAATTCACTATGGAATTTTGAATCGAAACAAAAAAATCGTCAAAAGTAAAAGTTAACTTAGAACCAGTTAGACTTGAAAACCTGCAAAAAAAATTCCTGAATTTTAAATTATTCCAAAGTTTATTACATAGCTTAACAAAAAGTTTTTTACGATAAACTGGAAAAAAAATAGTGTAAGTTGAAGGGATACTTTTGACTGAATGGTTCTATCTATCATCCCTCTCCAACTGTTCGTTAGCTGATGGACATATTCCTCTTTTTCCCCTTTTTCTTATCTGAAGAAAAATTCCTCTTTTTAATTACATTTGCGACTAATGGATATACATTCATTTTGAAAGGGATTGAAAAACGATTTATTTTTTATCAAGTCTAATATTTAGCATTAACTTCAAAAGTATATCAAAACTTACATGATAATGCTGATAACATGAATACAGCAATATATGATAATGAATCCGAAATTTCTCATATTTCCTAAATCTGAAAGTAGCCAATTGAAAAAATCTTCACGTATGCTATCACAGGTATTATTACAGGAAACAATACATAAGTTTTACTGTGACTACCAGAAGATAGCCATCACTTGGTTGTTATCCTCTTACCAGTACTTCTAATATGACTAAGTTCATAAATGTTTTGAAACCATTTCGCTCATATTTTTCTTGGGACTCAAATCACACATTAAAGTTCGTGAGTTTGTTAACTCCTTTATTTTTTGACAAATACGAAAATTTCTGAATTCACTGGCTGCCAAAAAATGCTACATATATTTTTAGGAGTAATACTCAAATAGTCTATTTAAAAAATGAAGCTATTCTCCCGTTCTCTTCTAAAATAAACATATTCACTGACCGTGAATCACTGTTGAAAAAAAAAAAGCTTTTCTAAGAAGAAAAAGAAAAAGAGAAAGATGAATGGAAAAGAGCATATACTAAAGAAATATCGTTGATATATTTGTCTAGTAAATGTTCAGTTATCTTCTGTAATTGTTTCGTTATTGTTAGTTATGGATTGTCTCCAAGGTGTTTCTATATTATCCAACATTGCTGCATATAATGCATCCACATACTTGAAATATCACATAATCTAATCGTTTTCTTTCTCACTGCAATGATTCCCAAGATGCTATGTTCACGCTTTTAGTTACAGCTTTACAAATACTTGAATGAATTTGTTGGACCAGAAATAACGTCCAAAATTTCGAATCCTGTACTGTTTTTCCGGTACCACTCAGTAGTTTTGCAATAAATTTGAAAAAATTGGGAAAAAGCCTTTAAATTCTAAGAGTTTGAGCAATATTTTATTAGAAAGCAATATTTTGTATACTGTTGTTTTCCAATTATTTTATCTGATGCATAAAAGTTTTTGAAACAGGATTGTTATTTACTGAGTGGTTTGTGGACAGGAAAATCCGAATTGAAAAAAAAAAAAAAAAAAAAAAAAAAAACAGGACGTTTGAAATTAACAAAGAATGAAAGCCATTTCATTTCGTCTTTGCAAGACAAAAACGGATATTTTTTCCTGTGTGCTTCTTTCAAGAAAAAGAAAAGAGTAGAGGTCAAAGATTTGTACTGGTAAATAATTCCATTAAAATATATTTATTTCTTAGAGAAAATCTTCATATTTGTTTAATGTGATGAATTCTATTTCCTACCGTAACGTCTATCGCTTATAGAAAGTACTGTAAGATGCTTTTGCGACAAACAAAACTGTGAAGATTCGCTGATTTGTACAGGCGAGTTGTGTTTGATTGGATTCCGCAGTGAAGGTATCGTTTTCATTTTGATGAAACATACAAATTTATTAAAATTTCATGGATTTTATTGTTTTGCAGTATTGAATTGATTTGTTAGTCTTCTATAGATAGTCAGGCACATATGGAACAGCTATGTAGCAATGCAGGTGATGCAAGAGATCTGGCAAAATGTCAGCACAACTGGAACGGATGGCAGGAGGTTCGCATTTTTGTCACTAAGTCGATTTCCGTATATTTGTGCAATAGACGTGTGTTAACTGGAAAGTCTGCTGGGAAAGATTAGCTTGTAAAATTGCTCCACTTCCTATTATTTTCAGGTTTGTGCTTGCGAAGAAGATTTTTGCAATACATTTGCATACTTACACGGTTCTATTGAAGAAAGCACTGATAATGTGGCTGATTCACAACCATTAAATCTGGTTGAGGTAAGGGAAAGGGTAGGACTTCTAAACATCGAAGTGACTGGATATTGAATCACTGCAAAACTTTTCTGTACTGTTTGAGAATGTTTCCGTCGATGATTTTTCTCAATTTACTACTCATCTCACGGAGTTTATAAACCTTCCTACCTTTTGCCAACAAAATAAAATGATTATGCATTTTCAGAAAGAATCATCGATAGGTTCGGTAGGAAGACATCGTGGAAGTAATTTAATTATTCTGTTAGTAATTATCCCACTGTCAGTTGGCGCTCTGGCTGTGTGCCTTATTTTTATCAATTACCACTGCAAGATGTGTTGAAAATTATTCTCACTGTGCATGATGAAATTACCATCGTAAATTCTACGAGATCATACCATGATCTATCTCAATGAAATCCATCATATCAGACGTTGATTTTATGTTTGCCTGTCCTTCAGAACTACCTACTTTTAATCAATAACACATGCAATATCTTTTCTGTTTCAGAATATGGTTTAACAAGAGTTCAGGCTGAAATTGTTTATAACTCTGTGACGGAACAATTGAGATTTCAAAACATTTCTAAAAGTACATCATTTTGCATAATAAATGTTTCACTGCTCGTAATGATACTTTGAAACTGACTGACTGAACAAGAACTGGTTTAAACTCACTTAGTTCACTTCATAAAACAGAAAAATCTGTTAGATTTTTCTCAAAATGGTTTGACAATGATGTAGCTTGTGTTGTAGTGCATTGCTGTAGATTAGTATGAAATTACGTCCGAAATATACATATAAGGTGGTCATTTGAATAAAATGCATGAAAATGCGACTATTTAGCAAGCATTAATTCTTTTATATAATAGATACGATTTGAGTATGGTTCAGATAATGTTTTCCTGATCTCCGTTTTGATCAATAAGTGTTTCAGGTTATATCGCGGTTTCACTTATAATAAATTCATTAGCAATAGAATGCATCGTTTGCTTCTTCCTATTTATGATTAAAAAATTCTAGATTTCATAGCATCCCCATACACTGCTGGCTATTTCGGCTTTTTCTGTTGTTGTCGTAAATTCTTTGAGATCCAATCCATCCCATCCTACAAACAACAAATAAATTCATGCGGTGAATATCAGCAGCACTAAACGATATCAATTTATTTCTTGTGTGATAATAAGAAGATATGTTTTCATGTCTTAACTAGTAATCCAGTAATATCTTCTGTGTAGTGAGACGAAAAGCTAATATAAAATTTTGTAATTACTTTGTATCGAAAATCTAATCACTTTCGTAGTGTTTGAAAAAAATGAAAATATGCTGATCTGCATGATTTTCTTGTATTTCTATGGTGAAACTATTTATTTTAAATGAAAATGATAGATACCTTGATACCCTCACCAGTAACAGCAGAACATGCCTGAATCTGCCAAGACCTGTCACGGATTGATAACAGATGTAAACCCTCTGCTATTTCATTTGCTTTGGCTGCTGTCGCCAAATCCTTTAAATTTAAAAAATTATGAAAGAAGCTTCTGCAGAAAGGAATATTTTCAACAACTGAGTTAAGATGTTTATAATATAGCCAAAAAGACGAAGGAAAGATTTGCATAATTTGAATGAAGTAAAGAATTTCCTGAGAAATCACAAAATTTCCCCAGAAAATTAAGGGAAAGTGAAAAGCGAAATATAAAACGCATGAATTTCTGAGAGTCATATTTGGACACCTTCTGTTGGTTATACATTGACTGTGATCGTTAAAAAAGCTTGTTAGCCCACAAAATAGAGTTCACGACCTTCTTTTTAGTTCAGCTTACTTGTTTATTAGCATAAACCAGTAGCGGGACATTTTTGAGTTTCTCTTCATCCAGAAGTTCAAAGAGTTCCTGCAATGCAGTAATAGGGGCCTATTCAAAATCCATTATACTGTACAAAAATTTTGACAGTATTAATTGCTTGAACTTGGAAATCCTCTAAAAGATCCCTAACCTTGAAGTAAACTTATAAAAAATACATCAGAAACTCTCTCAAATCTGCCCTTCCAAGCGAATTTTTTATAAGGACCGATAATGCCAGTATATCAAATACTCATCTGCATTGGCAACACCGAAAATAATTGCAGGCCATATATTCTAGCTATTATGCTACCCTATCTCACAAATATATTATGCTACATTTTATGATGACTTTTTGTCCACTATTTGATAACTCTAAAAATTGTTAATCCAAATTTAAACTTTAGGCATATATATCACAGATTGGATATATCAATTATGGGATGCGTTACTGACGAGGTAAAAATTTAAAGAACTGATCATGAATACTTTTTACCATGCCTGTTTCATCAAATCGTTTACGATCACAACTGTCAATTACATATATCTGAAAAGCGATAATACTACGAATGTTAATAAACAAGCTATTAAAAGTAGAACTAGGAAGTTAAATCTTCAAAATTTCACTTAGAAACTTTCATTTCAAGAAAAGCAAGTCAATTTTTTTCTATGATATTACCAAAATATCGGTATTTTCGAAATAATTTTTCCAGTATGGACGAATCTTTCGTTGTCCTCCAATATCCCATACGTTCAATTTCACGTCATCTGACACTACGCTTTTAATATTGAACCCCTAAAACACTAAATTTTAGGATCATACATGAGATTACCGAATGATATTACTACAAACAAAATGAGCTCTTATCTAAAAAAAATCATGGACTGCACCTGCGTAGGTGTAATGTGTTTTATATCTTCCGAAGCTAAATTCTTTAATATTGTCGTTTTACCGGCATTGTCCAAGCCTGAAAAGAATGCAAAAATCTGTCGAAATGTCAAGTCGCTTCTTCACATACGAAAAAAAATAAAAAGATCAGTCTGGAGCACATGCATGACGTGTCTGACATATTTGCGTAATGTGATATACTGAATGAAACAATCCTGCGTATCGCATAAGACCTGAAGAGGGTCACCGCATCGCAAAATTCATGAAGAAATCTAGATCAGAATTTTCCATATGGACAGAAGTGAGCAAGAAAAATGTTATTCAGAACTTTCTAATTTATAAAAATTGTTTGTGAAAAAAAAAAGGAAAATCACCAAGCAACAATATCCTGAATTCTTTCCCTGGCTGATTTTTGAATTTTCTGATCAGTCCAAGCAAGCCCTGCAAACAGTGAGGAAATAATTGAGATGGTTTATTACAATTTACCCAACACATATTATAAATAAGCTACAGTAGTTACCATTTAATAATTCAAAAAGTTTCCTGTGCAATTCCGGCAAGCAGATGATTGAAAGAATTTCCAGAACAATAGTGTCTGGTGCGACTGAGTTTTTCGCTCAACAGAGTACTTTCGGAACTTGAAACAGATTTAACGGAAGTTGCAGTGATAAGAGCACTAGGTTTTGTTATGTTGGCAAAATGCAAATAACAAGTTTATAGAGCCAACAGCGCAGAGTTACCATAGTGATGAGAAATTGAGCCTTACATAGTAGCTTTCTTTACAGAATAATTTACTTAACGCATTTCACATTTCCCACGGTTCTAGATTTTATCACCTAGAGATCAACGATGAACGCTGTCTGTAATATTCGACATGCTTCCTTTCAATGATAAGCAAGCCCATTTCGGCAATAAGTGTAGAAACAGGTATACATTCTTGCACATGAAGAGTGTAGCGAGAGACAAAGAACTGAAATAGATTCAACTCAACTAAATTAAACTAAATTCCCGTAACTCTCAGTCACATCACAGATTTGTTTGAAGAGGTGCCGAACAAAAAATAAAAGACTTTAGGGACAAATAATGTACACTGTTTCTACTCAACGGGTTATTGCTTTCATCTTTTAAAAATATATTATTTCTATAGAAATGAACGGTCAGAGATTTAAATTTCATGCGCAATGAATAGGTACTTTTTTGAAGTGTTCCTTAGGACTATAACAGTCGGAAACTAGTACAGCAAATCCGGAAAGAAAAGAATTTGCGCCAAAAATTTGAAGCAAACAGTATATCTTACTTTGGAGGTATTTAACTAATACCACTGAATGTCTCAATGGATTTTTTAGGTAGGATTTAAAATTTTAAGCGCTAATTTCATGAAACAGAGAGATGTGTTCATGATTCCGTTAAAATTATTTAGCTCAAATGTATCGACAATACAGTAATACTAACAGTAAAATTACGTAGCGACAAGACCTTGCAAGTAACGAATGCAAACTAAACGTAGAGGTAGGAAATCTTTAAAGTATCTGCCTACATTTGTCAGAACTTTAATTTTCTTAAAAAAAATGGACGCTATTATAAGCAACATTCTGATAATTCTAAGAGAACAAATCTTTCTAAACTAACGAAAAAATACTGCTACAACACTGCCACACTTTTCGCTAAAATGACTAATTAAAACTAATAACAAACATCAACGTATCTTGAAAAACATTATCAATGACTGTTAGTTTGAGATAAAGAAAAAACTCCCCAACATGGCTGATAAACACACTCAGCAGAAGTATCAAATATGAAATATGAGAATCCAGTTAATCATAGACATTTGTCTCAGGATCCGAATAGTGAAAGATAGGTGAAGTAAGGAGAAGAGATTATGCCACATCTTAAAGTTCTCAGACCAAAGTCACATTAACTTCACAATCCTTTACTCAACACTTATAATTCGAGAAATCTCAATGCATAAGCGCTTAGTACATAAAGAACACAAGCATTCAAATTGATAAGATTAATGGATATTGATGATTAAAAAGATAACGGCTTAAAAATACCATTTCCTGAATATAAAGTTTTGTACATGCCGAAAAAACATGCCGTCTTTCCAGGCCAAAAATGTTTTTTAATCTAAACCTCCAGACCTTGAAATAATAAATCCAATCAATATGTCAATAAAATGTGCCAGTACACTTCAACTATTAACCAAAAAAAAAAAAAAAAAAAAACAAGAAACTATTCTGCAGAGCGAACTTATTTCAGAAAAAAGATGACAAGTCGCATATTTACGATATGCGAAGTATTATTATGAAAAGTTATGCTGTAGCTGAACTGGCAGAATATTACTCTATATTTACCAAATGAAATAAAAATTACCCTCAAAAGTGAACTATACAGCCTCTGAATTTATAAAATCACTCTGAAACAATAAATCACATCAGTAACTTGAAATTGCATCTCAATCGCTGTACATGCAAAAAAAAAAAAAAAAAAAAAAAAAAAAATCCAGAGGTTTGTTGTTTTACAACTTAAAGCTCTGAGCTCTCAATTCTTTACATTCCAGTAATATATAGAAATAATGAAACATAGTAAGGGCACAGTTGGTAAACAGATACAGAAATTCCTGACACTGAAACTAACTGGCTGTGATGAATAACAGAAAACGATATAAACTACACTTATATGAAAGAAAATTAAACCAGAAGAGCTGTAACTAATCAAAATAAATAATTTAATATAATGAGAATGTTTTGCTATTTGCCACTGCCAGTCACTCACGAACTATAAATCTATAAAATGCTTTCAAGAATTCTTCTTATTATCTCTTCGATCGCCTGAATGCCTACCATGCAATGCTGTACCGTTCTGAAAGTCCAATTAACTTTTAACGAGAATTCTGATTTACATCTGGTAAGTTTATACATAAAAATAATTTCTAAGGAAGATTTATTTTCCAGTAAAAATCAGATGAGCATACATTTAAATAGGATTTACACAAAGAGCTTTCCTTTCGTTGAAATGGGTATAAAGAACAAATCAACAATATAACCTGGGTTAATCGATGTCCAATAGCAACAGCACGGTGCATACTTTCTTGAGTCAACGATGACAAGAAATTATACCATGCCCATGTAACCGCATCGTCAACCATAACACCAACTTCCCTCAAATTACCGCTATATCTTGAGTAAGCCCATATACCAAGTGAAACAACAGCTGAAAACCAATTCCAAACGCTATAGTTCACAAAACCTAAGTTGTTTCATATGAAATAAAAATTGGTTCAGAATACAAAATATGAATAATTCAATGAAATAAAATTCAAAATCTACTAACCAATACAGAGCGCAGCAGAAAATAAGCCTGCAATGATATCCAAACCAATTAGTTGGAAAAATTCTTGCAGCACATAATCTACAATCATAAATGTTACCAACACAGCAGGTGTTCGCATCGATTTGAACAAATTCTTACTGTTATTCACTTTAATAAAACTTTCGTATTGCTCCTATAAAAATTTTGATTATGAATATGCTAATAGAAATTATTTTACAAATGTGCTTTCGTGAATAGTTCATACGCCCCTTTCAGAAATATAAAAAGAAAACATGCTTCGATATCAATATCCAATCTTTCCAGGAACTGTTCAGAAAATTCTGCGCCACCCATTTTTCTAGTTGCTTTGAATAGTTTAATGGCCTCTTTGTAACACCGCTCATGTTCTGCTGCCAAATCTGCTGAACTCATGTAAGGTGCATCACCACCACATACCTGCAGAACAAATTCTAATTGAAAAACGGATTCGAATTCATAAGCTTGTGCACAGTTAAACCAAAAGAACCTAATCTTAAGTGGAGACACGAGAAAAAAAAAAAACAGACGACTACATATTAAAAAAACTGTCTACCACCAAAAAATGAAAAAGCTCACATCTTCCATTCTCCTGACATAATGGGCTTTAGAAGTTGAAACTGCTGCCAAATTATTTGCCTCCGCAGTAGCCTTCAAATTAATTAAACCAATCGATTTTGATCTACTTCATTCACTTTGGACTTCATATCCTCAATACGTCCAACTTTTAACTAATAAATCTTAAAGTAAAAAATAACAAACCATCAGCATTGATTTTGGTTCTGGCAAATCTTCTCCTTGAAATATTGTCATATAAGCCTACAAATAATATACGCACTTTTTTGTTGTTTACTCATACCTTCCTATACATTTAAAAATTTTAATTAAACGTAGAAAATAAAACATTCACCCTGAAGTACTCCACCAGTTCACGACAAGTTATTTCGCGGCCATTAATTCGCTTTAATACCAAATTATTGCAGTCCAGCAAACGCGGAACAAAAGAACGTAACTGCTGTTGAAATTCATTTTCAATATCTACAACTTAATGCCTTGATTTCAAAAAACTTGACCTTCGTTACTTGAAATATAAGCAACAATTTTAAAGTTCAAACACAGAGAAAAATCAACGAAGTGGGACTTTCGTCCCTACCAAATTTGCGACAGAGACCAACTAAAACACTTAAGTACAAAAGGATTTGCAGAATAGCGAAAAAGATGAGAGATGAACACAGAATAATTCGTAACAAGGGGAGGAATTTTTGACTCATACCACTTATTTGTCCACGAAAAACTGGGTTTGTGGAAACACGTAGCCCAGGATGGGGCATCAGGAAGCATGATATCTGTTCAAAACAAGAACGTATATGCTTCCGTAGTTGTTGCAACTCCAAATGTTGCTTCTCGGAAACCTATAAATTGGCTTTTCTTATTAAATTAGCTCCAACAAATTTTTGAGAAATAATTAGAAGTCAAAAAATATGTTACCTACCTGTAGACGACGTTCAAGTAAACGTTCACCGCCCTGGAAGCCATATTCTGCTTCGTAGGGGAAACTCCAGTCTCGCACCAAGAATAACAACGACTAAAATTATGAAGTGAATTATATTATGAGGTAATATTCTGACTCAACAAATTCAATTATGACGATAGAAATTCAGTATTGTTCTCCCACTTGAAATGGTTTAGCTGATGCGTTTTCCAGTGCCAGCCGACCGTATTCGGTAAACAACTGTAAATGCTGCAAATCATCCTCCTGCACATTTTGACTCAAATTATAAATCTGCAACAAAAAAATTTAAGCATGAAAAACAAGTTTTCCTGAAACTATAATTAAAAACCACGGAAAATCTCTTTGAACAACATATAAATGATAACAATGTAAAAATTGAAAAGCATAAACCTGCAAAGAAGAAATCATTGTTGAAAGGGCAAAAATGGTAGCACAGTCTTTTACGGTACTCTGACTATCAAAAGCTCCCTGAGTATCCATTAGTATAACAGCTGTATCTTCACCGTCCCGATTGCGCATAATAAATGGTCGAGACCATACTAAAATACCACTAGTTTCACGCTCGCTACCTGAAAATATAAAAATGAGTTTTTATTTATTCGTCTACCAAACCACAAACCATCTCCCAGGTTATCCACTTACCTCCACGCCAGCTAAATCCATCCAAATGATCACCACCATAAATCCAATCACCAGAGCGTCGCTTTTCTTCGGAAGCTTCCAAATAACGTAAAAAGAAATTCAAAAGGAAACTTTTTCCTTTTCGAAACGTGCCCGCCACGCTGATTACAGACACCTGCGTACAAAATTATACTTATGTAGGAATAAAGTTTTATTCGACCTGTCGCAACATATCATCTTTTACATGGCGATGAATCTTAAAGATCCTAAATTTATCTAAATTATAATGAAATAAATGCATTTAACAGGAAAATACGACAAACCTTATGGAAATAAGAAATTAGTTTAATAGTGCTAATTAGTACTTATATAATATTTAATTTTATTTAGATTGTCTACAGCGTACCTTCTTGTCTATAACATCTGAGCTTAAAAGAACTTTTTCCAGCGCCGCCTCATCTAAACGAAATTGGTGTTGCTCGTCAAGAGTTTCAATAACCTGCACTGGAGCTGGATGATCTGGTAATGGGAACGATTTCAATACCTGTTGAACCCAAGGAAGAAATTATTGAACGATGTAACATTTTGCAAGAAAATCATAAATAAACACATTAATAATATACTTGCAGATCTACAAAAGAAAAGAAGCAAATATGGAATATACTCAATCTTGAATTTTCTAGACTTTCCAATTCAATCAAAGAATGTATACCTCCTCCACTACTTCATTACTTGACTGCCCAAATTTGGGGCTGGTTACTACACTGCTGCGGTCACTTTTCCTTTCCCAATTTGGTGCAGCAGTGTTGAATTCTGTTATCAGTCCTGCCATTTCTAGTGTTGATGCCTTTTTCTCTTCTCTGCTCTTCTGAAAACACCTGAACTTCGCAAAATTTTTTGTCCTATTTCAGTTCTGCGAAAATAACGTTCGACCAATAATAGAATGATACATAGTTGTCTAAACTCAGTGAACTATACTGATGCACAAAGTAATATCAAGCTAATTTTACAGAGCTGATCAGACCAAGAAAAAGTAAAGCACAGTTATGCAAATGTTTCACTACTACCATTACAATCCTACAATAATCATTACAATACTACAATATTACAATCTCATGTCATGCATCGAAGAAATCAATAAATGTGTAAGTATAAGCCGAAGAGCTTACATGATAATTATTAAATTGGATTAGGAAATTAACTGTTTGCTCCGTTTATAGAACCTTTAATAACTGAGCGTTTATAGAATCATAACGGAAAAGTCAGAGACGGAACCCTTGACAAGCAAATAAAAACTGCATCTCAGTTATGCTCAATAACCACTGAGCCAAACAAATTTCAAACCAAACCAGCGAAAATTCTGCAAAATGAAACGTTATCAAAGACGCCATCAACGATATGCTCAAGGATGAATGACGGTAATTGGTTTCCGAATACACAGAAATGAATAATGCTGACAGAAACGGATCCTTCCAACTATTTCAGTTAAACGTTTCATCGCTCCTTTTTCTCCCTCTCTCTCTCTCTCTCTCTCTCTCTCTCTAATTCCTCCTTTCCATTCCACTGTACTTCGTCACGTGCAAAACGAACAAAACAAATAATAGCTTCGATTCTTCTCGAACAGAAAAGATCTATTCCTTTTCTTGTTCGAGATCTTTTCCATTGGAGAAAAGGAACAGATAACACTGTTCATACATTTTGTTAACTCATCTTACAACGGAACAATGATTCTGCCAGCTCTAACTGATGGAAACAGGCAACCACAGCAGGACGCTAATTCAATCTACAAATTTCAGCCAAAACTCCATCCACTGATGCCACTAGACTTAAACTGAGCTTAGTCCCTCTTTTTCTCAAAAAAGTACTATCGTTAGTAAATCGATAATGCCAGAAGATTTGATGCATGTTAATCCCGATCGGGCCATAAGTAGAGAAACATAAGAAAAATTGTCAGTGGGTGATCAAGTATATGGTAGCGTGGGTTCAATGCAACATAACTGTTAGATTAGTGCTTGACAATTTGTTAGTTAGCGAAGCAGCGAAATGATTCCAGGAGGTTCTCTTTTTGTTCAGACTTATTTGGAGCTGCTTAATTTAATCACTAAATGAATTGTGCATTAATGAATATAGCTAATAAAACAATAATATAAAGCGAAGCACAGACTAAAAGTAATGCAAGTCTACAGACAGGTCCAGAATAGCATTCATATCGTACGTATGGCCACAACATGCCATTTAGCACAAGTCATTTCAGATGAAGCACAACCGGCATTCACTAAACCGCCGAGCCAGCAACGGTAAAGTGCGGCGCACGCCATCGTAACTGTATTCAGATTTAAGTATAGACAAATGTGTTCGTGAAGGGTCTCTTCTTATCGGATGCAGTTGTGCAGATCATTGATGACGACTTGTTTGATGTGGTGAGGAAGCTGGCAATACAGCAGTGAAGGAGCATTGAACCTGCATAATGAACCCAATACACAGACAGACGGTGGTTCAGTCTGACCGCCTTATATGAAATGTTATTGCAGCTGTTTCGATTGATAAGGTGTTCATCATAAACAGCACAAATTCGATACTCACTGTCACATCACTTTTTCGTTTTCAAATGAGAAAAATGGTTTATATCTTTTATGCTGTACATGCTTGCTACCATATTTCAGGAGAGACGAAGTACACTACCTGAAATTCTCCATTAATCAGTCGATGATCTATAGTTAAATAATACTTGTTTTGAATTTTTAGGGCATTGTTATGCAGCAATCTTTTTCGTTTGTTTTTGAATAACAGTTCGTATTTTCAAGAAGGAAGAAGTCAAAAAGGGACTTAATATTACGTTTTCTTTCACGACTTTCATCTATTTCGATCAGAGATCGGTTTTCTCTTCAATGGTATGTTAACAAAGACGCAAAATGGTTAAGTATTACTGATTCGCATTCAACTGAGCTACTAATAATTTTATGTACTTGCTCTTCATATATTGACATTAGATTAATCCGTAATTTACTTCCTTCTATTATTACAGTGAACCATTCTGAGACCCATTTATATGTACAAATCTTGTACTACTACGCTTGACATCACACTATAGTTTGACTATATTTGTCGATGGATAATCATTGTACGAAAACAGTCATGCATGTATTTAATGAGGACAAAGTTTAGAACAACTTGCTATTTGCTACGTTTCTTACCAAGTGATTCAATTTGCAGTTTCTGTAACGGTATTTGTCTAATTAAAAAGTTTCTTAGTATCTTGATTATTTACTACAAGATTTTAAATTATGAAAGAAGGCCTAGCGGGTATTCTGAATTGGGGTGCTGGGGTATCATTTACCCTTAATACTAGGCTTGAGTCATGAATTTTCGGACAGTTACTAGTTGTTAAGTAATTTTTAGCTTCTGAAAGAATTTTCCTCGGTCATGTAAATTCGTTTTCAAGTTCATGCAGAAGAGGTTAATCAGTATTATGTTAAAATGAAGGTGGACGCATGTTTTTTTTACGAAGGTAGGCTAACTTCAAATAGTGCGTCGCAAAAGGCATATTAGGTTGTTTTTGGCTAAAGAGTGTCAGATTATATATCTTGATTTAAAGAGTTAAAGCAAAAGACGAGGAAAAACGTCCACAGACAAGCACATCTTGTTCGGAATAATTTGAATTCATTAATCAGCAAGACAACCTAAATTAGACAAGTATTGGCATTAATGTCTTGATGAATCTGTGCTAACTTCTGAAAGTCAGTGTACATAAGACGTCCCTACCATCTGTTTTCATTGACCATTGATGGTGCAGGTGAAACCAAATACTGCAAGAACATTACATGCCACAACTGCCACTTCACTTTTTAATTTAATTGATAAAACCTAATGTTAGTGCAACTAACTGTTTACTTGGTGTTTGTTTTGACATCCTTCCGGGAATTTTCTTGATTATACTTGTTTACAGTGAGGACACATAAGCGAATAAGCCAAGGTGAACAGTGCTATAGTACAGTTCCTCAGACGCACATTAAATGAGCCACTCTTCTCTTTTTGAAAAAAAACTTCCTAAATTCTAGTCCTCTTTCTTCCCATTATTGTTCTCAATCATAAGTTCGTTTCCTTTATAATTATGAATTATTCGGACTTAGAGTCCGTTTGTAGAAAGACCTTCGCTCTTCCACTTTGTTATTCCAGTAATAAACCTTCGGTCAATGTAGGACACTGTCTCACATCGAATAGGTCAGTCATAGTCTTAAGAAATAAGTGAATAGATAACTGGACAGATGAATAAACAGATCCAAATTATTTGTACGTTCAATCCAAAGTTAATGCACAGTTGTTTACATAACTTACAGGGAAAGGAAAAGGGCAGAAAAAGGAGCAACACCCAGGATATCTCGCACGCCTCTTACTGCTGAGCATGGCCGGCTGCGAGCGAACAAAGCAAATTATATTCAAGCTAATCAAGAATGACATTGTTCAACTGTGACCAGATACTCTTAGTTATTCACAGCAGCTAGCCAGCTGTTGTATGTGATTCGCCGTGTCGGTCTACCTGGAAATCCTGTCTTTCCTTTCTCGTACGCTCATAACTCAGCGTACCTTTTGTGGCTTTTTTCTTCACGTGTTCGGCACGAGAATGCTCGGGAGTATAAAACTGCCAACGGAACTTACCACTACTTGTTGTTAGTTACCGCGATATTATATAGTCACCTACTTTTCTTCCCTCTCCCTCTCATACGCATTATCATCCTAGAAATTTTCCGATGCTGAGAGCGGTTGTAATCGAAGTTTACCACCTAAGATTTTATCGAGGAACGGTTAATGTGAAGCTCCCTTAGATAACCATTTAATTGTCTCTCTTCCTCTGTGTTTCTCTGAGATCTAACTTTTTCTAGCAAAAAGTTAACAACATAACCTCCAGGAGGCAACACCTAACAAACCGCCAGTCATTCGATGAAAAGACCGACCCACCGATGTCACTCACTCATTCCCAACCACTATTCAGCACTAAACACTCGGCAGGGTGCTAAGTGGCCAGAAATCAATAAACTGCGCGATTCCTCCACTGCTAATATTGTTTTAGTGTTGTTGTGAGCGTCCCTAAGCAGGAAGAAAGAGGAGCGGGGTGGGAGAAGTTGGTAGGTAGTATCGTGAGTTTGCTCCGGACAGTGCCAACCATCAGACGCCATTTCTAGTGCTCTCGCTCCGCTGTGATGTATAAAGCTCTAAAGACACTGACTTACATTAGGTTTGGGAGGAATCTTTTTTAGCTTCATTTCATTTTGCCTGGAACAAAATAAAAAACACTGACATCCAACTCAGTTTTATGCGTTTCCGCATTCTTGCGTTTGTCATTCTTCTTTCATTTCATTACTATCATTTAGGTGGACAAAAAAGTATGAATATACGGTCGGTGGATAGTCGCCTGGAAGTTCTGCGAAATGGACAAGATATTGCCAATAGAAGTTTATTGTACAACACTGGTCCTACCCAGCAATCACAGCAACAGTCGCCCAATGTTGATATTGATAATGAATCTAACAAGTGTTAGTAACTGTAATGCGGTTGGAACTAGGAGTCTTCCTTTGTTGACATCTAGTTTCTTGATACTTGAACGTTTCGTATATAATTAGCTGCAGCAGTTGTCTTTCTTATTTTTTTCTCCAAGTTCATGTATTTGTCATTTAGCATTCGTATTTTTAAGCCGATTCATGGGTTGAATTGGCTAATCCATCATCACGTGCATCCATGGTTAGTATGAATGGAGGCGATAATGGTAGTGCCATATTGGTGGATAATGACGGGATGATTATGGGCGTTGATAATACGACTGTCGTTGTTGGCGGAGGTAATAGCAGTCCTTTCAATCGACTCAGGTAACGATTCCTTCATATTTACATGTTTCATCTCCACTTCATAAAATTACACATTATCAATTTAGAAGTTGGCTTCATAGCCAGTGAACCAAATTTCATCTTAGATAAGTGGGATGTCGTCACATTTAAATGGATTACATATATTTTAAGGCGGAAACATTTATTTCTTTTATTTAATTGTACAAATTTTTATAGCCCGACCAGTGCCTGCGGTGCTCCATTTGAATTGGTTATCGATGCTGGACAAGTTCATGGTGCTGATACTATGGCGGTTCATTATACTCGCCAGGGACCAGGACGTTGCACTGTTGCAACTGCTGGTATCAGGGGATTGGGTCAAGGGACGAAGAGAACAGCTGAATGGTTGGAGGATTACAATAGCCGACCGGAAGTGCAAAGAGGGTTAGTTTAATTGCTAGAAAATGAAGCAGAAGTGGAGTTAAAACTGAGAAGTGTTGCGCAGAAGAGAGGATGTGATATGTTTCATCCATCGATTGCATTACTTAATGAAATTTGTTTCTTGAAGCATTCAGTTTGATTATATTTAGATAAAGAGAATACCATCGGCATTATATTGTAGTCTTTACTAATTATGTACAAATTAAGATTCGTTGCTCCCTTCCCTACTTTGATTGCATTTATGTTTAAGTTTGGTTTTTATTTTTGAGTTGGTCTTAATTTGTACATAATTTTATCGACGCAAAATTCAGTGGCCCTCAAACTCCATCACCGGTGGAAACGGAAATGTCGACGCCGCCAAATAGTCTCGTCCCTGGATTAGACGTTGGAGAGCTAACTCAGAGCAGCTGTTGTGAAGATGAGGATGAGGAACTAAGTATCGAGAATGATGGTGCATACGTGTGTAAATGCCAAAATGTCGGGGAAGGTAGATGGTTGTCGTGTTAATTTTTGTTTTTTTATATAATCCAGATGAGTTTGTTACTCATTTCAGTGTTACAGTTGTGTTATTGCAAGAGCTAGTACCAGCTATGAAGCATATCATAAAGGTTTATGAAACATTATTTGATACGCTCAGTAACCGAAAGTTTTTCATGGTCTCTAGATGTACCACATTTATGTTTTCATTCCTGCACCTCACTGAGTCATATTTACAAGCATTTTAAGAAAAATAGCATAATTACAGATTATTTTATGCAAATGCAAACTTGTTTTTAGAGATTTGTCTCCCACTCCAAGACTCACACTTGACATAAAGTGACGTTTTATAGGTCCTTGTGAAAAAGGACGATGGACATTTAGTGAATTGCTGGGCACAAGTGGTAATGGGCGTCGTGCACTGGTGCTTTATCTGGTAACAAATTTGGTTACCCTTGCAATCGGTTTTGCTGTTGGGTAAGCATATGTTGTTTATTGTTTGCTCTTATTTTTACATGCTTGGTTCATTACTTTGTCTGTTCACAGGTCTTGATTTATTCATCATATAGTATATATTTAGTATATTTAAAAATTTCTTGACATATTTTTTGTTTTTTGCAAGCTCACAATTTGGAACCAGTGAATATGAAAGCTGGTGAAGCCGGTGAAAGCTCAGTTCATGTAATTTTATATAAGTCTGCATAATGTCATCAGTCCGTTTTTTTCAAATATCTCCGAAATCTTTTCAGGTTGACAGTTGGTCGAAAGTTATCGGTGCTACCGGATTTCAGACATCGCTACATATTTGATTTTAGTTAATTTTAGTTTATGCACATATTGTATTCACGTTTCGTCAGTCATTATGAGGCATTTGTTTTTTAATAACTTTCACTAATTTGGAATTCGTGACATGGAGATGGCGGTTGTTTTTAAATTCCCTCTCGAATAATTTATTTCGGAAAAAAAGTTTTGGGTAATAAAAGAATCAAAGTTTATTGGGTTGATTTGATTGAAAATATAAATTCAGTTCTTCCTATGAGACTAAATCTTTAAAAATTTATATAGCTGGGATTCACTTTGATTTTAATTTTCAGCACGTGTATTCTTTTCGATCCATATTGGAATGCATCATTTGGTTTTTTGAATTTAATTCATTCTTCATTCTTTATTAATATAATGATGCATCAAATCTAACTAAACCTGTAAGCAGTATGAACACTAAGCTTGGAGTGCTATATGCTGGAATCGGACATAATACAAATCATATTATTCAAAATTGGATGAATTAGTTTATTATCATGTACAGAGATCCGTAGTTTCTCAGACATATGTATGCTGAAATAACTCATTCACGAAGTATCCTCATACAATCCCCAAGTAGCGAGTAATGTTACGTATGTTTGGTTTCTAGCATTAAAACCACAAATATATTGAAACCACATATATAGTTTAGCTACTGGAAAAGCGTGGAAAATACAAGGATCTTAAACCATTACCTCTTGTGTTTTGGCTTTACTTGCCTCTTCCATTTTCGTTCTTATCGGAATTTTTTTTAAAAATAAGTTGGCAATACTAGGATCTTTTTGTTATTATACCTTAGAGTTACAGTTAGCCTGTTTCTATTTTTTGCTCAACAGTGGTACCATTCTTTAAAATTAGCTAACCATCTGTGACCGCGATAGAAAATTATTTCTGATGTGTATCAGCTTGAGATGAGGTCGGCAGCACTTGATTTGCATGATAATGGGGTTTCACTGTTGAGTGAAAATATTGGCGGTGGCGGTATTGTCTTCTCCCTTCTACTCTAGCAACGTTTCCATCCCTTTTATCTATGTTGTTTTGGTATTAATGTGCTATACTTTCGTTCTTTCACATTTGCGTTTTTAAAGTTTTTTGCAAAACGATTTGATATTAAGTGCAGGCGTGTGTTCAATATATCCTTTTTATATATTTCAACAATAAATTTCTCTTCCCATCCTTTGATAATACACATTAAGATGGAGAAGTTCATGTGATATGGAAACCTCGGATGTTTGGGACTTTGGTGGGTGTTACATGTGACATGATGTACTAGGAGAAGGAAATTCACCCCCACCGACTTTGTTGCACGAGGTGGCTATGAAATCCACAGCTTAGTCTCTGCGATGGTACGATTAACGGCCCGTGATATTGGGTTTTTTCAAGCTCGATGATTAAACGCGTTGGTGTTAGATGGCTTGTTTGACTGACATGGATTTGCGACTGATTCCGGGTGTTTTTTTGTTTAGTCACACGAAGCTATTTCCATCACCATTTAATTAAAAAATTTTAACCTTCAGGAGCTGCTCCATGCTCTTAACTACAGTAATTTTTTGGCATATCAAATGGCGGTACATATGTTAACTTCAGTTTCAACTGCTGGAACTTCGAAAACAGCTGAAATAGATGAATCTGGAAATGATGTTTCGAGCTGTTTGGAAAAAATTAATAAACTCGATGTTGGCTTTATAACACAGCAGGAACAATTTGAACAAAAATTGGTAGTGCAAAAGGATGGTGGGGAAAAGGTTAATAACTAGTAGTATATGTCCTGATTTTCGAGTTATTTCATGCAAGCTACTAAATTTATCGATTGCTGGATTTATATCTAAAGAATGTTCAAAGAATTGCAGATTTCGTCAGGGACCACTACGGCAGGACTTATGACAGAAAATAACCTGGAGAAGTTTACCTTATTAT